TCCCCATCCTAAGGTCTTGCTGCTTCCACAAACAGCTTTAATGGAAGGAAAAAGGAAGAAGGGAGCAAACATCTCAGCCCGGCAGCTGGTGGAAGATGCCAGATCCCATTTCTGCCTTCACCACCCGCCCAAGGCAGGACCTGTCACCGGTCACTGGGGCACTGCGGCAACTTCATTTCAGTTTTACTCCAGTAAAATCACAGCGCGTCAGCCCTTGTTTTTATTACTTTTGCTCCCCTCTCCGTGCGTTGTTGAGGCTTGCGGTGTTTTGGCAAACAAGCCTTGACTGTAATAATTTCTGGCCCCTCGTGGGAAGTTGTAACTCCAACGCAGGGAAATATAAACTGGCAGAAAATGGACTGTTTCCTTCTGCCGTTGCGAACTGCAGCAGGCAGGCTCAGATGGAGGTTTTCTGTTGGCTTTCCCTCCCCTGCTTTTGTTTTTTTCCCCTCTCCACCAAAGGGCACAGTCACCCTCCTCCAGCCTCTGAGAGGGAAACGTGCTGGGCTGATGAAGTGGCACGTTAAATTTGCGTTTGGCAAAGTCACAACTCCAGGAGTTTCGGAAGGAGGCAGCAGTGGGAAATATAAATGTTGTTTGTCTTGTGGTCAAAAAGGTGCGTCTTAAGTGCTGCGGTGTGCTGATGACGGTGTGGGTGGCAGCCCCGTCACTGCACTGAACCCGTCTGCGGAGGGCCCTGGGAGAGGTGGGGAGAAGCAGGGAGGTCTGCAGGCAGCAGGGACATCTTGAGTTGGGTGGAAGATCAGCCTGGGTTGGGATTTGAAAGCACAGAGAGTAGACCGCACCCTGGAAAAGAGGGTGTTGTGTCCAGGATCTGTATCAAGAGGGTCTGGTGGCCCATGTCCAGAGCTGTTCAGAGGTCATCTCACAACCTGGGATGGATGACCCATGTCTCAAGAAGTTCAGGATCTTCTGTCCAAGGACAAAGCCCACCTTGCAAGGGACAGAGCTTTGTCAGGAGCTGCTCAGAGACATCGGCGTGGGCACCTGTGGGCAGCAGGGATTCCTGCCGGTCTCCCTGACCTCTTCACACCTGCTCAATGCATCTTGGCCAGCGTGAACACCAGCAGTGTGCCCGTTAACCCCAGCCTGTCCTAGCACCCAGGCGGTTTGTTGCATGGATCAGTCACGATGAGCCTGTACCCAGCCTTGTTTTCTACTTTTCAGGAACAAAATAAGAGAGACACGGATGTGATGGACATGGGCCACGTGGCTGGGAGGCACAAGAGCCTCAGACGTGTGGTGAGGGCCACATTGAGAGGGGACGCGTTGTGGCCCTGCAGTCGGGGTGGTCTTCCCAGGGCGAGATGGGTCTGCCTTTAGCACACGCAGGGGCTCTCTTGGGAAGCCACTTGAACCTGAGCAGGGCACTTGTGTCGAGCCCCCATAGCCTTGTGGCTGTTCCTCACCCTGGTTTGAGGCTGATTTATCTCATCCGTAGAGCATTCCCAAATCTCTGCCATCCCTGTAGCAGCGGGGGGTGTCATCGTGGGCTGTATTCAGTCTCTATCCCAGCCTCAGAGTTTCATTTCAGTGAATTTCCTTGCTGGTGCCACTATCCCCCCATCCATTAGCAGATTAGCACAGGTTGAATTTCCCATGCGAGCGCTCCACAGTCTGTCTCATTGTATTTATTTTGTTCAGGCTGCTTTTCCCTGAGCTTGACAGTGCAATTTGTACAGATCTGTGCTGAGTTTTCCAAACTCTCAAACGAGCTTTTTTGTTAGCGTGAAGCCCGGACAATTGATAGTAGAGACATTAAACAACAGAAACATTGAGAAGTAAGCAGCACGCCTACCGTCCAGGAAGGCTTCCTAACCTCTAGAGGTGCTCCTTGGCAAGAACTCCATGGTTCAGAGATTTTAATTAGATCTAATCCTCCAGGTGACCAACCAAGCATTAAAAGGCATACCAATTTTTCAGTTGCGTCTCTTGCTGTAAAAGTTTTTATTATTTGTTTTAGATAGATGTTACAAAATAACTTGGATATCCCAAACTTAACGTTTTCCTTGCATGGCACTAAGAGGTCTCCAGCATAGGAGAGTCTCCTTCAGTGCAGTTATACTCGGAAAAGTGCCTGCCTGCAAACTTGTTCTGCACTGACTCTGGTCTCCCTTTCCCGGAGTAACTTGCATGTGAAATTTGGTCGAGTTTTCGGATCAGAAGTTGTATTTTCTGAGCGTCAGAGTTGCCAGCTCCTCCTTGGGGTCTGGAAATGCAGCTGTGGTTTCTTTGCCTCTCGTTCGCACCGGTCATGGAGCCCCCGCATTGAAAATGTGTCTGACAGCGTGGCTGATGTTGTGCCAGGCAGAGCCGAACCTCCGCGCCGTGCCTTTTCCTAGAAAAGCTCGAAGCAGAAACAGCGCAACCCAGCCGTACACAGAGACAGGCATAGACCAAAGCTGTCATCGCTGGAAAAACAGAGCTGGAAAGAAACCTCTTCTTCCCCCTCCTGCCTGGTTTGCGGCGGAGCCTGGCACGGCAGGAGGGCTGTCTGTGCATCTCCTGTAGCGGCTGGGTGGGTTTTGGAGATGCGCAGGGCTCTGATCACGGCCTCGGCGGCTGCGGTCGTGTTGCCCAGGCTCTGCAGGAGAAGGTTTCGTGCTGTCGTTGTGAGTGTTCAGCTGTCCCAGCTCGAGCACCGGCTGTCCCCAACTCGCTGCTGAGGGCACCTTCAGCGACTTTGGTACGTGTATTGCTTCTCACTGCTGCGTTTCCTTGCTGCCTTCTAGGTGTTGTGTCTCTGGACTCCCAAAGGAGTCTAATCACAAGCCTGGCTTATAAATCCCTCTGTGCCGAAAGGAGGTGCAGGATTCATTCACTTCTGTAGGACAGATATTACTTATCTCTGGCTCTTTTGAGGCGAGGGTCACACTTAGCACATTTCCATCTGCTGGGGTATGTTAGACCAGTCTTCAGCCAACCCCCGGGTGCTCTGGGAGCTGTTTGTCCTCCATCCCACCCTTATACTCTTCTTCCCATCTTTGCCCTGGGAGAAGTTGCTGAGGCTGGACGGGGTGCCATGATGCTGCGGGGCTGCAGCACCGTCCCTGGGCCGTCCCCATGCTGGAGGGGCCGTGGCTGTCCGTGTGACTGGAGGTATGGCTGGAGATGAGACCAGTGGTTGTCATTCGGGGGAAATTGCCTTGCGTCCAGGGGTTGCCTGGGGGCAGCTGAAGGTTTTGGGGCTGATGCTGTTTGCGTGCGTGCGTTGACTCCCGACTCTCCAAAATCAGAGCCCAGGCCAGGCCATCAGAGATGCCATCACTGCTCTGCAGGAAGAGGGGGTTGGCCACCCGGCTCATTTCCCACTATGCTGAGGTGGAAAACAACAGCCTGTTGCTGCAGGAGGAGACTCTGCTGCGCCTGTTGACATGGTGAGGATGGGGGATAAACTCATCATGGTATATGCATCAGGTCCCACCTGGACCCACTGGCACTACCAGAAGCACTACCAGAAGCTGTTTTGCTCCCAGGGATGCTGGGGCTGCCGCAGTGCCGGCACACGGAGGTCTGCAGGCGCATGTGTGGACCATGTTGTGAAAATCTTGTCTGCGGGAGGATCCTGAAGCCCCTGGGTTTGTTCTTTCTCCTTCCTGCCCTGTCCGGGCAGGTCCTAGATGTCCCCCTCCTGGGAAGGGTGCCTGCTGCAGCAAGGGGGTGAGGAAGGAGAAATCAAAGGTGGCTTTCAACAATCCCTCTTCTCCTGCCTTGAGGTCAGCCTGGTAATTGCAGTCAGGAACCTGCACACCAGATCTGCCGCCTCTGAGCCGTGGATGACTCCTAATGGTGCGAGAAGCAAAGCCAGGATGGAGCCGGGAGGGTTGAAGAGGTTGCCCGGCACCTTGGTTGACATAGATGAGCTTAATGTTTTGCTGTGTTTCTGGGAGCAATGGGCTTAATTCAAAGCTGCTCCCTGCCCAAGTCCATTTGTCTTCTGTTTTGTTTTTTTTATGACCCTGTCTGCCTCTGCCTCTCTTATTTCTTGGATGATGCTTGGCACTGGCGGCTCCGGCAGCTTTCTGGTAGCGGTAAGAGCTGTGGGTGTTTTGCTGTAGCAGGGACGCGTGACCTTTGTCTGGCCACAATGCGATTGCTGCTTCAAAGTCGAGCAGAGGCTGAAATGCTGGAGCTCTTCCTCGGAGCGCAAGAGACTCGGGATCAGGGATGTAGACAGCCAGTACGTTGTGCTCCGACTGTGAAAGTCCTGCCAAAGAGGGAGCCTGTAACATCTAACCTCGCCGCCATCTTCAGAGATGTACCAGAAGTGGGTTTGCAGAGCATCTGCGTGGCCGGTACCCAGGGGCAGCACGGACGGTGTGCAAGGCTTGTCTTCATCTGCCTGCACCTGGGGCAGCTGTTCACATCCAGACCTGAAATTTTAGCCTCGTTCTTGCAGACAGAAGGATGGATTTTGCCATTTGTAGTCCTTGGAGAAAAGCGCTCGATGCAAGAGGTGTGTGGGTGGTGAGACCAGGAGTAATTTGTGAAGTGAGCTGGAGGGCCGGCGCTGCAGCACAGGAGCATTTAAATAAATCAGCACATTCGCAGCAAGCGAGGAGCACAAGAGGGGGAAAGCAAGAACTGAAATATAAAAGGCTGTTAAGGAATAGATGCGATGCGAAGCGAGAGGATTAACAGCTGCGAGGGAAGCACAGGTGAGGGTTCCTTGCCAGGGGAAGACGGGTAGGACGTGGGCATGTGGTGGGGTGGCACGGATAGCCCCGTGTGCCCTTCCCCAGCTCTATTGCCATCATTTCAGGTTGCATCGGTCATGTGCTGTGTTTGAGGTGGCCTGCAGGGCTTCGCACCTTCTCCATAACCGCAAACTGCGGTCGGTGGGAGCTGGGGGGGTTTGCTCTGGGATCAACCTGGATTCATGTCCGCGGCGGGGTGCTGCCCCAGGCAGACCCGGCGTCTGTCCCACCCTGCCATGCCCCACTCTGTCGGTGCCCTGCCTCTTGCTTTTTTCCCTGTAGCAACCCCAAAGTCCAGATAGAAGCAATCGAGGGGGGCGCGCTGCAGAAGCTCCTGGTTATTCTGGCTACAGAACAACCCCTGCCTGTCAAGAAGAAGGTGAGCGAGTGGGTTTGCTCCTCTGGGTAAAGCCGGTTTTGTGCTGAACTTGATGTAAGTGCTCCTCGGGACATCGCCAACATCGTGAGAGTGTGGGACCCTGTGCTGCTCCCCACGCTGGGTGGGCTTTGCTCCCCAGGGTTGCAGGAGAGTGGCCCTGGGTGCCGGGCCACCCCCAACAGCCCTGGCTGGCCGGTGCC